TGCGTATGAATAACTCAGGTGTGCAGTCAAAAGCAAATCCGGCTTTCCTCACGAAAATACATATAGTAACTAAGGGAGAAAGAGACCTTTCATTCACAAACTTTTACAGATTTCTAAGAATTCATAAATTTGAGAATAGCTTAAGAATTTGGGGCATATGAATATTGCGAATTTAAGATTTAAAGATCTATTGATATCAGAATTTCGGTACTGGGCATATAGGAATCTGAGATATAGAGACTTGGGACACAGAGACTTGGGATACAGGGACGCAGGGAAACAGGGACGTAGGGACACAGTGACTTGTGTTACAGGGATTTGGGACATTGGACGTAAGATATGAAAATGAAGTATACAGGCATTATTAAAGTTTAGCGATCCAAAAATATAGGGATTTGCAAGTATATACAGACTTTGGAAGCCATGGGAATTTAGGGACTTAGAAATTTTGGGGGTCCAGAACTTTGAGGATCTAGTGTATGAGAATTTCAGGATCTTTTAGTATAGAAGTTTGGGACTCTAGAGATTTCAGGGTCTAGAAATTTTGGAATTTACAAATTTGAGCATCTAGGAAATTACAAACAGTAAACGGGAATATTAGTAGATCTCCAAATTTCGAAGTTCACACATTTTTTTGTCCAGAAATTTTTAAATTCTCAAAAACTCCTAAAAATAAACGACTGGAAAACTGTCCTTTTCGTTGCCATATTTTCTATAGGGAAGGCAGATTTATGGTTGAGTGTACAGTGTACATGATACTACTGCGACGTAACATGACCGTGGTGCACGAGAAGTATTAATCAATTGAATATATTGTATACTATTAATTATAAATTTAATACGATCTTGGTTTTTAATGGGTTAAAATATTGAGCACAAAAGTTTGACCGAAAAAGGAGCAGGGTATCCCAAAAACATTATACAACCCGAATATTATAGACTCTACTTGTGAAAACAAATCAAAATTCTTTTACTGTTTTGACAATCTGTGCCATCTTCGGTTTTCAGATAGAAGCAACTGAAAGTTGAAATATTATGTACTTTTAGAGTACATTCTGTCTGAAATATTTGACTAAAGTTTTGCAAACATATCGTTTCGATATTTTTGTTCGACTGATATCTAGAATAAAAATTCATAATCTATGGATGAGCGTTTTCGATAGACGGTTTTTCAAATTTTACGCGTCCCCAATATTTCACACATAACTAATGTTTTACCCATAACCCATACTGTACTCGGAGTCTATTATTTTAGTGTTCTACAAATTTATATTAAAATACATTTTAGATTTTTTTCTATATATGTTGGAAATGAAAATGTGAAAAAAACTTACAAAATAAGTTAGAGAATGTTTGATGAAATCAAAATGTATCATCTTACCTCACAACTTTTAATAATTATTTCTATTTCTGCGTCCTTGTGGGTAACGTCATACCAAATTTTTTAGGAATACAAAAGCATTCCTCTAGCTTGTATTCTAAACTATCATTTAAAGTTTGTCGATACTCTGAATAGTCTGTTTTTACATCGCGTTCCGTATTATGTAAAATAAATAGTTTAATTGCAATTACTAACACCAATCGACTTAAACGTACGTTTTATAGTAATAAATGGTTAATAAATAATAAAGTTGATCGAGTACACAATGTATCCTAATTTGTTACCGCCAAACTTTATTAACATATTTTATTCATGCAAATAAAGAAAGGGTGTTATATCAACGTAGGATTTCAAACGCTTTATTAAAAGCTAAGACAAAAATACGAAATGATAATGTATTATTCTGAATCGGATTGTACACAATTTTTGGGATATTCTGTATTTCTTTTAAAACACGTAATAAAATGATGAATAAAAATAACTTATGTTACTATTATTCGTCACAAATGTATAAAAAATACATCTTCTTGGTCGTGAAAGTGTAATTAATCAAACGAATTTATTGATCATTTATTTATTGTTCAATATAAATTTATGAATATTTTTGTGTTTTGCTGTAACTACAAATTCATCGATCTACGGATAAGAATGCTATTAGTAGCAGCATGAACTTGGCGGGGTGAAACTTTTTGACTCGATAAATCAAATCGGATATGCGTTTATAAATGTAATAATTAATAGATTGTGGATGTTTATACACTTATGACATATCAAAATACGTAAACATTTGCAAATTGTATATTGCATGCAATAAAATGAAATAAAATGTTGAGAAGATGCAAAACACACGAAATGTGCAAAATAAAATTATATTATTATCATCTTCTTTTTCCATCGAAAGAAGTATTAAAAACAATGAGCTATGAACATCAAAAATTATATAGTTGAGAAATGAGGTCTTCACTTGTGAAATAGAAAAAGGAAATCGATCGTGTATGTGGGAATATATTACATTTAGAGGTGTCAATTAAGTTAAATTTAATTTAAATTTAAATCGATTTTGTGCGTTGTTTATAATCATTAGATAAATACATATAGTTAAATAATAATACCTGTGTAGAATTTTGAATTATATAACGATAAAGTATCTACGTAAAGTAATAATTAAGCAAACTAAAAAGGTACTGAAATTTCTTAATTTCAAAGGATACGTCATACACAGATAATAACACCTATTAGCTCTTTGGTTATTTAGATTTAATTATAATTTAATAATTTAAATTTTAGTTACGTTATTTAAAATATATTTGAATAATGAATAATGAATTTTTTTTTAGAGGATTCTTTTATACAGTATATTCTCTGTAAGTGCCAAAAAGATATTTACCGTAATTGTAAAAATTTTATCCTCGTTATTAGGGGTATCCACCTCGGAATCAGTCGGTTATTGAAACGACGGGGATCCAATATCGATGACAGACATACTAAAGTAAGCAAAGGAAAAGATTGCAATTTTCTTATTTCTTATAATTTTTTCATAAAACTTGTACTATCGTATTCCCCTCGTTTTTCTGATTAAAATGACACTCAACACGATACAATTATGATCATAATTACTTATGTAACAAACCATAAAAGTTTCGGACTTTTACACTTACGGGCAGACTTTATACGGGGTGTCTCACAATTAGTGTAGGTCCCTGAAATGGAGGATAGTTGACATGATGCTGAATAAGTTTTCCTTTCCAAAAATAGGGTTTGAAACTTCGTTTTTGAATTGGAAAAACACGGACTAATCAGAACGCGAGGATTACTCGTGCGTAGATGCGAGAGCGACAGCTTCGAACCTAGTGACTGAACGCGTGTAATCCTTGCGCTCTAATTGTTCCGCGTTTTTCCTTAATAATTCAAAATCGAAGCTTCAAATCCCATTTTTGCAAAGGGAAATATTATTCAGAATCACGCCAACTACCCCCCATTTCAGGAACCTACACTACTTGTGATACACTCTGTACATAACAAAACATATCAATTTTAATGCAATGTTAAAAATCATTTGCAGGTTAGAAATAAACTGTGTTATAAACTAGGTATAATTTTATGGTGAGAAGCATCGAAAAGAATAAAGTATATAGGTGTGGTATTCGAGGAGTATTAAACACGATTTGAGCGACAGGTAAACCTCGAAGAGTACGCAAGCTTTTTTTTTCTGAAGTTTGATCCTACCAAAAGTGCTGCATGATCCGAGCACAATCCTCGCATGATCTGGCATTCTATCAGTCTTTTAGTTTGTCTCCTGCAGCGTTTTACACGCCAATAATTTTTGTCTTGTTTTTCTTTCTTTTCCAGTTCAGTAGCGTTCTTTTTACGCCTGATGCACGTACCTCCCCAAAAAATACCGAATAATAGAGCTCGAATCTCACTTTAATTTTCATGCGTCCTATATAGATCACTTATTTACCCTTTCTAGCTCTTCTCTGACAATAAGCAACTCAAGATAAAGCTAAAGTGTAGAGGGACCAACAAATCGTGTTTTTTTAGTGGAGATATTCTAAATTACTTTTAATGGCTTACTACACAAGTAATTATGATCGTAATTATATCATATTTGGTGTAATTTTAATCAGAAAAACGAGACGAGTACAATGATAAATGTTTCATTCACGTAAAACCAAAAATAAAGAATATTAATTTTTGTGTTTAAAAGGCACGAGTCTTTCATCTTTGTTGAACCTCAGTCCCTCTCTGTTTTTGTGTCGCTATCCTTTTCTACGTTCGGCTCATTACAAAGAATGTATACCTATTCTATGAATGTGGAAATCGAGACTTGAAATTTTCACATTTATGGAGAGAATACTGTATTTGCTACATTCAAAAATTTATTGCAATTTTATACAACAGGCTTATTATAATAACTGTTATTTCTATTGATAATTTTATGTACTTATAACATATTTATGAACAATTATCAATTAGACGCGACTATTGCAAAATAATTTGTAATTGCGACTTATTTAAGATATATAAATATACACTGCTCAAAAGAAATATGGCATAGAAAAATTTGAGGCAAAAATTGGCCAAATTTGACTGATGATAACTCCGTGAAAAATCATCGCAAAGTTATGCTCTTTTTTTTAAATTAAAGCTTGAGATCTCTACTTTAAGACCCTATAGTTTGATTTTAGATTTGATGCATCCCTACCACAATAACACCATAAATGTTCCGTGGAGTTGCAAATATATACTTAGAACAAGAAATACAGTCCATTCATTATTTCAAATAATTTCTGTAATTGTTGTCTTATTCATTGTACCATCTCTGAATCTCTGTCCCGTGTCTTCACCAAACCTCCTGTGGTGCTTTCCGCGAAGTCAGAGATGAGATCTATCAAGGGGTCCTCTCATTAAGCATACTTCAAGGATGTGGGTTTCCAATGTATCGAGCTTGAACCATATACATACATACCAGTTACCACGTGCACCACAGCAGCAGGATTTATGGCGGACATACAATGAAAGTGTTTACGGTTGTTCAAAACTAACCTGTCATATCTTTTCAAAGGTGAAACAACCACTTTGATTGGTTACCTTTGATGACATTCGGGGTTCCCTCCAGTCTGTTGGGTGCTGTCTAACCCAATAGCAGTAACGGAACCTAGAATAAATTCCTTACAGCACGCAACGGAGTCAAGTGATGTCTTCCTACCTCGTTGGTTGGACTGGGTCCTGACTCTTGTGCGGTCGTGGAGCTATGATCTCGAACACCTGCCGACTATAAGCTATCAAACTCAGGCGCGGCGGAGCGGCATTAGGCCAACTAAGCTCAAATTGACAATAAACTTTGATGACATTCATGCTAGACCAACTTCCGGAAGCTCAATCGCTAATCAAATTGGACAGGGCAGAGAGATGAATCGGTTTACAAGAAACCGATAAGAGAACAAGTTCAATTCAGACAATTGTACATATTACTTCAATCTATAACGAACAGACACATTCAGAGTTTAAAGTTTTTCGAGTTGACGATCACTTATAGTTGATTAGCTTTCGTTACGGAGCAGCGTTATCTTACAATCAGATTCCAACAACATCTTTCTTTATCAAGTAATATTTCATTAAAAAAAAGGCATTGATAACATATTGAAACATCCTTATTACTGTAAAAGGAGTAAGAAAACGCGAAAAATGCGGAAGTTAATCCAAAAGATTAACGATCAAATTTGCGTTATTTTACATTGGTCCATCGAGCCGGATCGTGAAATGAAGCACAAACCCAAACTTCAGTGTATAACTGACAATTCAGACAGCTCGAAATCTGCAACCAACTTCAAGATTGAGTCTTCATTGACATCATAAAAATCAAGGAAAAGGACCCGTCCATTGGAAGTGTTTATATCAATATTTAACCATTCAATTTCGAAATTTGGAGCTTCCTACGACTTGGTCGATTACTAAAAAAGACAATATCCATTATAAGGCAGAATCAATCCTTTTTAGTATTATTTTCAATTACCATCACAATGCCAAACACGTCCACAAATTCCAATGTCTCAGTCTGCAACCGGCGATTTGACTATTAGTACCTTACGATGCAAACGCGGCCACATCATTGGACAAATTTTATCTTTGGCAACTTTTTTAGAATATTTCGAGGAAACAAATTCAAATGATACATATTTATTACAAATGCACATCAATGGATTAAACGAAGTTTAGAAAAAATTCGACGACTTACAATTTAGTATTGAGGAACTGAATGAATCTGAAAGGGCGAGACGATTTGAAATTCAAAATAATTATTAAGCGGTGGTGGCTGGGGCCAACCAGCTACTACATAACACGTATTAACCCTTCTCCTGCGTCGACGGTACCTGCCCCAATGGCCATTAAATTGCCCAAAATGTGGCTACCTACTTTCGACGGGTCAATCGAAGAATGGTCTTCTTTCTATGATATTTTTTTAGCAATGATTGGCCGTAACGAAGACCTGACCCCGGTCCAAAAACTGCAATATCTGCAGTCAACTTTGATCGGTAAGGCCGCCGCTTGTATACAATCACTAAGTACGATTGCTAAGTACGAATCACTAATTATAACGATGCCATAGAAATATTACAAGAAAAATTCGATTGCCCACGTCGAATAATTCTACATCATTGCGATGCACTGCGTAATATTCCAAAATTATCGAAAGACACACCAGAGGCCTTGAATAATTTGATAGATCTTATTACCCAACATCTTCGGGCACTGAAAAATTTAGGTGAGAACGTGGCATCATGGAACAGTATCCTGTTGTCCATAATACTATCGAAATTAATTAATGACACAATTTGGCATTGGGAATTGACCCTTAAAGACAAAAGGAAAATACCGGAATACACAGAGCTTCTTCAATTTTTGGAAAGACGAGCAAGCTGCACGCTTTCGTCATGCTCAAAATCCAACACATCAACAGGACGAAACGAAACAAAGGATCATGATATTACTAAATTAAGTAATAAGCGATCATCACGAGGTCATGCATTTCTATTATCAAAATCTCAGCGAAATCACCCGTATAAAAATGTATCAACCAATAAATCTCAAACAGCAGGTTCAATCCAACGCTGCCCTATCTGCAAGCAAGGTCATGTGATCTGGACGTGTGAACAATTTAATAGCTTATCAGTTCAAGATACGAGAATGGCTGCGGAAAGAGCATCGTTATGCTTTAATAGTTTGAGGGAAGTGCATACTGTGAAATCTTGCAGGAAGGGAAATTGTCAAATTTGCCATAAACGTCACAATACACCATTGCATTTATCAACAAATTCTACAAATTCACCGTCTCAGTGTTCAGCAGATTCGCATCATACCACGAATCACAAGAAACCAACAAATTGACTATCATTGGATACTCTAAGGGAAACCAAATTTCATCGAACATTTACCATTAATACTGTCACTCATGACCTGTTAATAACTGCACAGGTGTACGTGTCAGATAAATATCATCGGCCGGTCCTTTGTCGAACGCTCATTGACACTTGTGCTTCCACAAATTTTATGAGCGAGCATCTCGCCAGAAAATTGGGCATACCGTTAAGTAAATGCTCCATTCCCATTGGAGTTCTCAATACATTATCGACAATAGCAAAACACACAATTACTACCACTTTGTCTTCAACAATTAAGAATTACAAACGCACATTAACATTTTTAACAATCTCAAACATTGCTTCAACCATTCCAGATCAGCTCATCGATAGGACACTATTGAATATACCTAATAATATAAAATTGGCGGATCCATCATTCTCAACACCCTCTCCAGTTGATTTATTACTGGGCGCTGGAGTGGCTCTATTCTTATTATGCATAGGTCAAATAAAATTATCGCCTCCTGACGGACCGGATTTATATCCACAAAAAACACAATCAGGCTGGATAATCGGGGGAAGTGCTCCAGTTCCATGATTGTCTCAAGAAATTACCTGCCACATGACTACGCCAATACAACTTGACCTGACTCGGTTCTGGGAATTAGAAGAAGGACCACAGATCCGACAATTCTCTAAAGCGGAACAAGACTGTGAAAAATATTTTAAATAACTATTACACGGAATTTGGATGGCAGATATGTACATCGTAGCACTCTCATTTAATAATAAATTGCCACAGCTAGGAGAGTCAAAATCGAGAGCACTAAAACGACTGATGTCACTAGAAACGAAATTTCGATGTGATGAACAACTATCACGAGACTACCAATCAGTCTTACAAGAATATCTGGATCTAGGGCACATGTCAGAAATATCAACCTACGGCGAAAACGATTATGGATATTTCCTCCCACGTCACGGAGTTACGAAAGTCACCAGCGATACCACAAAATTGAGAGTAGTATTTGATGGTTCCACTGCAACTAAAACAGGTATATCTCTTAACGACACATTACATGTCGGCCCAAAAATATAAGACGACCTGCTACACGTTTTAATTCGATTCCGAAGCCATCGATATGTTTTAACTGGGGATATTGAGAAGATGTATAGGCAATTTCTAGTACGATTTGAAGATAGGAAATATCAATAAATTCTATGGCGAAACTCAAATAACGAATTGAAGGTTTTTGAGCTAAATACAGTCACTTTCGGATTGTCCGCAGCCCCGTATTTAGCCATCCGTTGTCTAGTCCAATTAGTTCAAGATGAAGGACATCGATTTCCTCAAACCGCACATATCGTAACCCGGGATTTTTATGTAGACGATCTTTTGACTGGAACAGCAACGATCGACGAGGCGTTGATGCTGTGAGACCAGCTAATACATGGTATGTCCTGAAAGTAATGTCAGTAAATCGATTAAAAATCATTTATTGAACTGCTTGTTACAAATGATTAAAAATCTTCAAAATAGGCTCCTTCTGCGTCAATACATCGGCTCCTGCGAATCTTCCAACTCTCGAATGCATTGCTGTAGGCCTCCTCCGGAATTTCCTTCAATGCCGCCGTACAAGCTCTTTTGATTCCGTCTACTGTCCCGAAAATCTTGCCTTTCATGGGTGTTTTGACTCGTGGAAACAAAAAAAAGTCGGGGGGAGCTATGACCGGCCTGTACGGGGGCTGGGGAATCGTTGGCACCCCTGTTTTAACCAAGTAGTCGAAGACGATAAAGGCGGTATGGGCCGGAGCGTGGTGCAACGTCCAGTTGTCTGCCGATATGGTTCGTGACGATGCCATACACTTGAGTTTTTGGAATATTTAGCATATCGGCCATTAAACGAACACTCCCATTAAGCGAACACTTAATCGTCGGTCTGAATTCAACAATTCCCTCACTCGTGTCACATTGTCGGCTGTGGTGGTTATGGATGGCCGTCCTGCACGGTCCTCGTTTCGACCTCTTCCCGGCCTTTCAAAAAGGCCTTGTGCCACCAAAACACTTGCCGATCTGACAGGACATCTTCTTTATAAGCTGACTTGATCATAGCAACCGTTTCCGTCGCGGTCTTTCCAAGTTTCACGCAAAACTTGATCACAACTCTTTGTTCTAACGAGCGCTGCAATTTGACTTATACAGTGACACAAAACAATTCTTCCGGATAGGCTCGTCCTCACTCTCCGGATGCTATTTAGCTGACTTCCCGTACTACCAATTTTAACCGAAAAAATCGCGGTCCGACGTGAAGTCGCGTCACAATAAAGTCACTGACATTACTTTCAGGACATACCATGTACAACTCTTGAAAAGGGCAGGCTTAAATATCCGACAATGGGCATCCAACCATAATTCATTACTAACAGATCTTCCAGAACAGGCGATAAACAAATAGCTACATTTGGGCGAATCCTCAACCATTAAAACGTTGGGAATATTTTGGGACTCACCTGATGATGCAATTAGATATTCCATTGCAAACTGTTCTTCAACTAACCTCGTCACTTATACTTCAGAAAATATGGACTTTAAAAATAGATTGGGACGAATCCTTGCCTGTGGACATACATACTGAATGGACCCGATATTATAAACAATTACCATTATTAAATAACATATCACTCAGCCGACAATCATTAATTGATGAGCCCAGCTTGATTGAACTGCACGGCTTCAGTGATGCCAGTGAACGTACATACGGGACTTGTATTTATATCCGCTCCATCAACATACATGGTCACTGTCAAGTACAATTGCTTATGGCTAAATCGAAGGTTGCTCCTCTGAAAAGCCAATCTATACCACGACTGGAATTGTACGGAACATTACGTTTATCATCCTTAGTTACTACAGCTCAGAAGGCCTTGAATGTCACCATCAAACGAACAATCTTCTGGACTGATTCGGTGATAGTGCTCCATTGGCTACAAACATCACCATATTTGTTGAAAACATTTGTAGCAAACAGAGTAACCGAAATCCAAAACAGAACCAAAATTGAAGATTGGCGGCATGTCCCAACTGCAGACAATCCTGCAGATCTAATTTCCAGAGGCCAACTACCTGAAGAATTCTTACATCCATCGATATGGCATCACGGACCGAAATGGTTGTGCATGCATGAAAATTTTTGGCCAACTATACCAAGCACACCTCCGAGTACTGTTCTTGAACAAAGAAAGGTAACCTGCTTAACAACAATTCTTCCTGACAATATCATTGACCAATTCTTTTCCTGGGAAAAATTAATACGGGTGATTGCCTGGTGTCTCCGGTGGAAGCCAACTAATCATACTAAGGGAGCATTGACGGCTCCAGAAATAAGACAAGCTCATGACGTTATCATCAGGCTTATACAAAAGATTTATTTTGCAGAGGAAATTAAAATATTATCTGAAGGTAATCATCACCAATTAAAAGATACACTAAGGAGGCTGAATTCGTTCCTAGATTGCGAAGGAATTCTGCGTGTCGGGGGTCGTTTAAAACATTCAATAATGCCATTTAGTCAGAAACACCCCATCATTTTACCAAAAATTCGAACTACAACTTTGATAATTGAGTATGAACATCGTACACAATTTCACGCGGGTATCCAGGCTACCCTTTACGCGGTTAGATAGCACTATTGGCCTATTGATGGTCGACAACAAATGTGGAAGGCAATAAAATCTTGCTTACGGTGTTGTCGGGCCCAACCACCACCGATCAACTATTTAATGAGAAACCTACCTGCCGCCAAAATAACCGAATCTCGACCATTCACGCATGTGGGAGTGGATTATAGTGAACCATTTTTCATAAAAGAACGGAAAGTACGGAACCGTGGTCGAGTAAACGTATACGTCGCAGTTTTCGTTTGCATGGACATAAAAGCAGTGCACCTGGAGTTAGTCAGTGGCATGACCACCGATGTCTTTATTTAGAAGGTTTATTGCAAGACGAGGGCTTTGCTCGCACCTGTATTCGGACAATGGGACAAATTTCGTAGGAGTCTACAATGAATTACGCAAACTTCAATCTTTGCTGACATCAAAATCACCGAAATCAAGTAACCACATTTCTCGCAGAAAAATCAATAGAATGGAGTTTCATTCCTCCATTAACCCCACATTTTGGTGGTCTGTGGCCGTCAAACCTTTCAAGTGCCATTTGAAACGTGTTGCCGGATAAAAAATATTCACGTTTGAAAATTTCAACACACTTATAACTGAAATTGAAGCCATACTAAATTCCCGGCCACTAACTCCCATATCATCTGATCCTAACGATCTTCTCGCCCTCACACCAGGCCACTTCTTGATTGGCGATTCACTAACAAGTTTGCGTGAGCGAAATGTTTCAGAAATACCCACAAACCGTCTTACGAGTTGGCAGCAGATTCAGAAGGTGAAGCAGCATTTCTGGATTAGGTGGCATCGAGAATACCTGAATGAGCTGACTACATGTAGCAAATAGACCAAAGGCGATCACCCAATCAAGGAGGCTATAATCGTCTTACTTCGTGAAGACAACGTTCCATCTTTGCATTGGCCCTTAGTTAAAGTCATTAAGGTTTTCCCAGGATCAGACGGGATCATCTGGGCTATCACCGTCAAAACAGCCAAGGGTACACTGGATCGGAGCGTCAAACGGCTCGTTCGACTGCCCAATCAACCAGATCCGATAGTTTAAAAAGCATTATTCGTTCATTTATAAAGTCACTGTGCATATACATGCAAGTATATACATATATACCAACACACTTTGCTTAATTTGTTGATCGGTGCCCTCTCAACGGGGGGAGGATGTTCCGTGGAGTTGCAAATATATAGTCAAAACAAGAAATACAGTCCATTCATTTTTTCAAATAGTCTCTGTAATTGTCGTCTTACTTATTGTATATAGAAATTGATTCTCGGAATTCTGAACTGGCTTGCACCATCTCTGAATCTCTGTCCCGTATCTTCACCAAACCTCCTGTGGTGCTTTCCGCGAAGTCAGAGATGAGACCTATCAAGGGATCCTCTCATTAAGCATACTTCAAGGACGTGAGTTCCCAATGTATCGGGCTTCAACCATATACATACCAGTTACACACGTGCATCACAGCAGCAGGATTTATGGCGGGCATACAATGGAAGTGTCTACGGTTGTTCAAAGCTAGGACAAAAAAGATGGCGGCGTATGAGTAGGAAGTGGTTCTATCGAGTGAGAGATATTGTTGGTTTTTTTTTTAGTTGTATTTGCTTTAGTTAGTTAAGTTGGAGGTGTAGAAAAGAAGGGAGGGAGGTGGGATTTGACCAAAAATAAGTGCGGAAGGTAAAGCAAGTTTTAAAGTGGTATAGGTAGGATAGAATATTTCCCCCGTATGCCTACAGGGTGCGCGTGGGACTGGTTTTGAAGTTTTGGCGATTAATAAACTTTTATAAAGAAGGAAGAAAGTGCGTGTAATAAGTTGAGTAAGAGGTCAGGTGAAGTATTTGGAAAGATGTGCAATTGAAATATGGAAAAAATAAACCAAAGGGAAATGAGTGTTACAAGTGGTATGGAGGTTATGGACAGGGGAAAGTGTACAATAGACAAAGAAATGGAAAAGGATGTGGGCAAAGGAAAGTCCCTTATGGGGAAAGTAGAGAATTGGGATGTGGAGTTCTTGAAAGAAGATGAAGAGGAAGTATTGAAGTCGCTGGAAGTAAACGAGGTGTTAAGCAAGGAAAGTAGTAAAGGGAAAGGAGTTATTAATGAAGATAATGAAGTAAAGGAGACAATGGGGTATGGAGAAGAAACGTGGAAGGTAGTGTGGAATGGAGTAGATAGAAAGAGAGGTAGAGAACTAGAGTAAGAAGAGGAAGAGTTGATGAAGAAAGAGAAAAAGGAAGATGAAGAAGAAACAGAGGAGAGTGAAAGTTTTGAAAGTACAGAGGAAGTAGAGGAAGCAGGAATGATGCCGGTGTCTACGCAGAAATGCGAGGCATTAGAGGGGAAAGGGAAAAAAAAAGAAGAAGAAATGGAGGTGGAGGAGGGAAATGAAGGAGTAAAGGAAGTAGTTACTGAGAACAAAGTAAGGGTTAGGGATATAAGGCAGTTGAACAATAAAGAAAAATATAAATATATTGCAGAGGTTTAAGGAAAGAACAGGGGGGTCAAAAAATGGGCAGGAACGAAAGGAAGGAGAGGAAAGAGGAGGTAGAAATGGAGAAAGATTTTGTCATAGGTACGGTGAAAGTGATAATAACACTGAGTTTGTAGTGGGGTTGTTTTTGAAGAGTAGGCATGTTGCCAAATTTAAGAAAGCAAACCTCATGAAAATATATAGATTCGTGCAGGGAACTGGTTTAAGAATAGAGTCAATCAAGATGGTTGGCTTTTGTAAAGCGGAAGTGACATTTCGGACGAGGGACGATGCGAATAAAATGTTACAGGACTATGAAAGAAATGAGTGTATCGTGGAGGTATTTTTACCAATGAGGAAGAGGTTCAGAAAGGGTGTGATTAGAGACTGGGTGGGGACGATGGAAGAATTGCAAGAGGAGACAACGCCAGGTCAGGGGGAATATGTGTTGGAGAGATTGGGAAGGAGGTCTAGGGAGGAAAGGAGAGATGGAAAAGGAGTAGTTGGGGAGGCACTTCCGATAATATTTAGAGGAGATACATTGCCAGTATTTTTGCTAATTGGACAAGGCCATGTGGGGGTAAGGATATGGCCATATGCTGAACGACTAAAGCAATGTTATAGATGCTGGCGTTTTGAACATATCATGAAGTTTTGCAAGGGGAGGAGGAGCTTATGTGGCAAAGATTTTCATGGTAAATGTGAAGAGGAGGCCAAATGTGTTAATTGTAAGGAAAACCATGCAGCCGATGAGGACAGAAAGTGTTGGATGTTCCAAAAAGTGTATGCTATAAGGAAGGTTATGGTATATAGAAATGTTGAATTTGAAACTGCAAAAGAGGTGATTGAAAGGACTGCAGGTATAGAAAGTGTAAGAGGGAAGAAGGATGAGAGGAATGCAGATGAGGGAAGTAGAGAATTCCCTGGGCTGCAGCAGAAAAAGATTGTGGATGCCTGGGAAAAGAGAGAAGTCCTGATAGGAGGAGAAATGGAGAGGATTAGAAAAGGAATCGGATTAGATAGTAAAAAGGTGCTACAGTATTCTCTCCAGTAAATGCTAAAAAGATCTCTACCGTAAATGTTAAAATTGTATCCCCACTACTGGGGGGATCCCCCTCGAAATCAGTCAAGAATAAAACACGATCGGTCGCCGAAACGACGAGGATCGAATATCGGTGAGACACATACTAATGCAAGCAAAGGAAAAGATTGTAACTTTCTTATTTCTTACTATTTTTTCATGAAACTTTTACTGTTGTATTTGTCTAGATTTCCTGATTAAAATTACACTAAACATTATATAATTACGTTAACAATTGCGTGTGTAACGGGTGATTAAAGTTCTTAACATAAAAGAGGACGGCGAATGAAAAAGAAAGAGAAGCAGAAGGTTGACGCGTTCGGCAAACATGAAAGACTCGTGCGTCTTCTGTCTTTTAAATTCAAAAATCAAAGTTCTTTATTTTTGGGGTTTCATCAATTAAGCTTTGGAACGCGAGAAGCGTGAGAAATAAAGTAGAGGAAGTTAGAAGGTTAGGTGAGGATTTTGATGTGATAATAGTTGTGGAAAGTTGGTTAATCCCGGAAGATAATTTTAAAATCCAAGGATGACAATCGTTTCGTAAGGATTGTTCGTTGGATAGGAGAGGGGGAGCAATTGCGGTGCTAGCTAGGGAAGATTTAAAGGTTAGGTTTAACAAAGATAGGGGAATGACAGACAGCATAATGGAATGTATGTCTTTAGGTGTGGATACAGTCGCTGGAGAAATAGAGATGGTGGTAGTGCATAGAAGGCCGGGAGGAAGGATAGATAAGGAAATATGGAGAAAGTTATTTGGAAACGTGACTAGCCATGATAGAATTATGTTCTTAAGAGACTTTAACGCCATGAGTAAAACATGGAATTGTGAGTGTAATGATGTGGCAGGCGAAATGTTAGAGGAAGTGTTGGAGGAAATGAATTTAGCAGTAATTAATTTTGACACCTTGTCCAGGATTGGCAGGGTAAATCAAAGGTCTTCAAATATTGACCTGGTTATAGCACCGGGAGATATTGGAATGAAAATGGTGGTATCTGAATCAGGGGAAACTATGGGGTCTGACCACCAGGTTCTGTCATTGAGAATAGGGGAAGTGCCTGATCGGGTTCCAGAGACAAGGGGTACCAGGAAATTTGAAATGGAAAAATTGGATCAAGCTAAATTTCTGAAATGGTTGCTAGAGAAGGAAGTGTGGGAACTAATGTTGCGAGAAGTGGCATTGGGGTAGAACAGAAATGTATACAAATAACCAGTATGCTGCAGAAAGGGATAGTAGAGTGTATGGTAGATGGGAGGAAGGGGAAAAAGAACAGAATGGAGAAATATGGGGCTCAAAGGGAAATTATGTACAAAAGGGGTAAAAGAAATGTGTGGTGGAATGAGGAGTGCGAAAGATTAAAGGGAGAAAGGAAGAATGCTGTGAACAATTTGTTAAAGAAGCCATGTTTAGAAAATTGAAATAGAATGTTAGAGGCAAGGAAGGAAATGGATAGGGTAATTTGTAAGAGCGAGCGTGAAGAGTGCGAGTAGGACATTGTATTTTCCGTCGATGGAATATTCCATCGACGGTTAAAACAAATGAAAATCGGGCAACGACGGCCCGCACGGCGTCGTCCGACGAGGGCTCATTCAGGCATTGTCTATTGCGTTGAGCACTTTACGTTCTTCCCGAATAAATTTCTGATTTTTCCTGCCAAAACAGTATTTTATTTAATTTCGGTTGTACCTGAATCCTGAGGATATTACAAATTAAAGAAAAGAAAAGAGAGTCATGGGATAAATTTGTAGAAGGAATTAACAATAGGGTAAGTGTAGGGTCGCTTTGGAAAAGAATCAAAGCAATAATGAAGGGAATAGAGCAGAAAAATAAAAGTGTTTTGAGTAAAGAAGAAAAAATTAGGTTAGAAAGGGAAGAGGCGGAAAAGATTGCTAGGTTATGTGGGGTGAGTGGAAATGAAGTCATGGGAACGATAGAGGATAGTTTAAGGGTAGAGAGGGAAGTAGATTGGGCAAATAGAGATAGGAATAGGGACAGGTATGATAGTGAATTTGATATAAATGAATTGGAAAGAGTACTGAGATTGTTTAAGAATAAATCGGCACCAGGAGAGGACGGTATAGACTTCTCAATTATTAAAAAATTGACGAAGGGGCGGAAAGAAGCGTTAATTAAATTGTATAACGAGGTTTGGGTTAAGGGGGAGGTGCCGGCGATGTGGAAAAAAACAAAGGTAACATTAATCCCAAAACCACAAAAAGAAGCTTTAAGACCTATTTCATTATTAAATTGCTTAGGAAAGGTTATGGAGAGAATGGTTAACGAGAGAGTGAGGTTATGGGCAGAGTCGGAGGAAAAGCTGGACAAGAACCAGAATGGTTTTAGGAAGGGGAGGGCTACGATAGATAATATCAATATACAGGATGTTCGGCTACTGGTGGGCATAATTTTAGGGGGTGGTAGCTGGAGTGATTCTGAACAACTTTTTACTTGACCAAAATGCTGGTTAAAGCTTAGTTTTTGAATTATTAATGAAAAACACTGACTAATGAGAGCGCGTACAGACCGGTCGCGCGACAGCGTGAACGACAGCTTCAAATATGACGGCCAATCGTCGTCGTAAACAAACGTATCGATACTGTCGGTATAACGTCGGTATAACGTCGGAATAACGTTGGTATAATAGAAAGCTATTAGATGAAAGTTACATTGAATAATGAATACAAAAATCTGGATTATTGTTGAATTATCATTCATTCATGAATAAGAAATAACAAAATTAATCTCTACTCACGTAATCAAAGTAAATCGAATTTATTCAATACGTTTATTCGTTATCGCAAAGAAATAATAGCTAAAATATGGAAAATTATTTTCGTTAGATATTGTAACGATGAAAAAGAACAAATTCTCATTTTGAAAAAATTAAATAACTTTTCTATTCAACAAATAAAAATGTGAATTGAATAATTAA